GAGAGCCATTTTCCAGCAAACTTCCAGACCCTACTGGGGCCACTCAGAGAACTGACTTGACATTCTCTTTCCCTGCTCATGCAGGTTTTGGTGACAGGCTACTGAGTGAAGTGAAGAAACTGGCTCCAAAAGACGTGAAGATCAGGGTAGGAGCATGGTGGGGGCTGGGCTGGGGAAAACGAGGCCTCCAAGGGTCCGGAGCGCCTGGTGGTGTGGCTCCTGGGAATAGCTGCTCAGCCCACATGCTGGCTCTGAGGCCTAGGCCTGCCAGAGGGGAGGACCCATCCTCATTCTCCCTCTTCACTTGAAAGGAGGGCATTTCTAGTACCCAGATGGGGCTGGGTACTAGGCTGAACACCCCACACGTGGTCTTCCAAGAAACTGCAAAAATGACAGGGAATTGACCTTTGCTGTTCCTGTAACACAGTCTAGCCTCCTAGTGACTGCCAAAGGGAGCAGGGGAGTTGGCCAGCCAAAGAAAGGAGGGAAACTAAATGAAGCAGTGAGGTTTCTGCCCTGGAGTGTGTGTCCATCCCCTGCACCCTAGCAGGACAGAATCTTGCCCCCAAGTAGCCCCAGCTTCACTGGGAACTGTCAGCACTCAGAGCTCCTGGAAACCTGGTTCCCCACATGAATGTCAGGCTGGCTACACTACCCCCAAAAGAGGCCACAGGGTCCAGCAGGAACTCTTGTGGGAAGTATAGCCACTGCCTCGGAGCGGGATGGGGAATACAGACATGCATTGGAGGGGCAAGTGGGGAGGGAGTGCAAGCCTCAGACTCCTCCTCCCACCCACGCCTGCAGATATCTGCACCTCAGGAGAGACTGTATTCCACGTGGATCGGGTGAGTAGCTCTTTGGAAAATGAGCGGAACAGGAAGCGAAGGTATCGCTTACCCCTCCCCACCCGTCCCTTTCTCGCAGAAGAGTCTGATCTGGTTTGGCCCCATGGGGACTAGCTGGCTCCAGGAATACCCACTCTATCTTACACCGTTTCTTTGGATTCTCTCCATTTCAGGGGCTCTATCCTTGCCTCCCTGGACACCTTTAAGAAGATGTGGGTCTCCAAGAAGGAATACGAGGAAGACGGTGCCCGGTCCATCCACAGGAAAACGTTCTAATGTCGGGACATCAGCTTCACCTCTCTCTGAAGTTAACTCCACTTTAAAACTCGCTTTCTTGAGTCGGAGTGTTTGCGAGAAACTGCCTGTGTCTGCAAGTGTGTGTGTGGGTGCGTGGGTACGAGTGTGTGCGCATATGCGAGGCCGTGTGGCCCAGGGACCCAGGGCCCAGAAAGGACAATGAACTACCCACGATGGCGACGGCCTGAGGCCTGGGGTTGACCACTAACTGGCCCTGACAGGGAAGAGCACTGGCAGAGGGACCCACTCCTGTCAGCGGGGCCTTTGGCTGGCTGTGTGGGACTGTGTTTACTACTGGAGGGAGACATGGAGGGAGGTAAACCCAACCTGTTCCCAGACCTCGCAGCTGCCTGTCCCAGGCCAGGCTAACCCCTCCCCCCACCTCCCAGGGTGGCCCGTCCCAGGCAGCTGCTGCCTCCCCTGTTCATCATTCAGCTCTCATGCCTCTAGATCATGGACTGAGAGCTGTGGCCAGGGTTGAGTTCTGTCTGATTTTGGTGCAATTTTGGTTTGGGAAGCTGGGAAAACACTCCGAGAGCTGTTCTAGAGATTCCGGGGCCAGGAAGGCGGCAGGATGCCCTCCAGGTCACCTGGGGACCAGGGCCACACTGGGGCTTTGAGGAGGGCAGGAGCAGTGCTACTTCTGATGGGCTGCAGAGTTGATGCTCACTCCCATCCCCCATGCAAGGGGTCTCGGGAGAGTTTAAGGAACCTGTCGGCTACTGTTACTTGCTTTTCATCCACCCTTGTCTTGATGCCATCTTCAGTTTTATTTATTAAAGTATTTGTTCAGTAAGGGGACTGGAAAGAATGGAGCTCATCACCTCCTGCCCACCAGTCACCCTGTTCACACTAATGTTTACAGCACCTAAGTTAGCGTAGCATCCAGGGCCCCACCACTCCCTGCTAATGGTGAACTGACAGTACCCATAAGCCTCAGGGCTGGTGTGGGATGGAGGCTACCCTCAAAGGCACTCCCACAGCCTCTCTTGTTCCTCCTTTTCCACTTGTTCACTGTCCTGAAATCAACAGACTGACTGCTGGTCACATTTTCTGAAACAGGAAGTAGAACCACTTTCCTTGGCAGAAGCCCCTTTAGTAAAGGAGGGGTAACACCCCTTAGGACCGGAGCTGCGATTGGAACAGCGTTAACCAAGTTGCCTTTTCCACTCTAGTTGGCGAAGGGGGCTGGCTAATAGAGGCAGAAAGGCCCCTCTAGGCTGATCTTGTGCCATTCTCGACTTTGGACCTTTTTTGGGAAGGAGGGTACCAGACCAGAGTGCCAGGACTTAGGCTTCTCTCTGGTCCAGCAGTGCCAGGTACCTAGGCTGCCCTCCCTAGCAGTGGTCCAAAGGCCTTTCAGCCCAGATGGTGCAAGGCTGGGGCTAGCATGCCTTCACTGGCACCCCCAGCTGTGACACCAAAACCCACCCAATTCCAAATTCCAGGCAGTATTCTCCCCCACACCATCCTATGACCAAAGGCTCCTGCCAGATGTGGAACGCAGCAGCAGGTGTGTGTGAAAGTGATGTGGCGACCCGCAGACAGCAGTGTGCTTAACCAGCTCACCTCCCTTCTCTTAGCCCGAGCCTGTCCCTCGCACAGCCTCGCACAAACCACGTTGCCTGGTGGGGCCCAATATACTTAAATAAAGTCGTTCAACAGATGCGTCAGCTGAACCTCTGTTTGTAGTCCATGCTGGGGTGGTGACAAGCAGGAGGAGCTGCAGTCCCTGAAGCTGAGGCCCTGAGTGGCCAGTGTGGCCTCTAGAGGGCATTGTTGTACCAGCCAGAGGGCCAGACCTTCCAAGTTGGAGCCTGTCAGGTGGTTGCCGGTTGGTATTCATGCCAAAGCCCAGGTTCATGAATGAGGATCCCACCACCATGGGTGAGACTACCCACAGTGAAGGGAGCAGCTCTTGACATCTCGCAAGTCAGAGGTTCTCAAAACTCCCAAGTGTATAAGAATCTCAGGACCTTATTAAAATGCAGTTTCTAGGATTCACTCTTGGATATTCTGATTAATCAGTTCTTCCTTTTAAATCCACATTTGGGAAAAGTAATTGCTGAGCAGTTTACCAACACTGACCTGTTTAATCCAATAACCCAGTAATAGCTGGAGCTCTGGTGACATAGTGCCTAAGGCATTTGACCACTAACCAGAAGACTGGTGGTTCAAACCCACCAGCTGCTCCTTGGGAGGAAGACTGGGCAATCTACTTCGCAGTGATACTGCCTTGGAAACCGAAGGAGGGGTGGCTGATGGGTCGGATATGACCCGATGGCAGTGAGTTTGGTGGTGGGGTTTTTTTTTAAAAAAAAAAAACAAACACCCATTTAATCCAGTAACCCAAGATGATGTAGATACTACAAGCAATTTTCCAAGGCTCTGCTCTTTATTAGTAAGATAGGATTTGAACCCAGGCTGTGTAGTCCTAGAGCCTACATCCTTTGCCACTAAGCAAACCCTCAAAAAAAACACTGGCCTACAGCAGTGGTTCTCAGTAGGAGTCAATTTTGCCCCACAGGACACATTTGGCAGCAGCTGGAGATACTTGGTTGTCACACCTGGGGTTGGAGTTGGGACTACTGACAGCTGAGTAGAGGCCAGGGATACTGCTACTGAAAAATACCAACCACAAAGGAGTATTCAGCCCCCAATGTCTCTAAGGTACCTCTGGTGGTGCAATGGTTAAAGCATTCGGCTAACCAAAAGGTTGGCAGTTCAAACCACTCCATGGTAGAGCGGAGGCAGTCTGCTTCTGTAAAGATTTACAGTTTTGGACACCCTGTGGGGCAGTTCTGTTCTGTCCTGTTAGGTGGCTAGGCGATGCAATAGACTTGATGGCAGTGGGGCTTTTTCACATGTCTCTAATCTGAGGCTTCAAAACGCTGGCCTGGAGCAGTGGTTTTCAATCTCGGCTGCACTGGAAAATCGCCCACAGAGCTCTTAAAAATCCCAGTGCCTAGGCAACACCCCAGATCCAGTAAACCAGAATCTTTGGGAACAGAACTCAAAACATGAATATTTTTCAAAGCTCCCCAGGTGATTCTAAGGTTGAGAACCTCTGCCTAGAAGCTCCTCGTCCTTAGCTACGGTGTCCAGCAATGGCACATGGGAAATGCTCTGGGGCTGCTGCCTCCAGGCCTGAAAGGCATTCTGCTCCCCAGTCCCCATGTAGCCACCAGTCCACGTGTTCTCCCTGGTACCCCAGTCAGTGACGCTGACAGCCACCTGTTCTATTTGGGAAAAAGCTCTCAGTGCTTTTTCTACTGAGGAGCCCTGTGCCCCAATGCCGCCCTCATCCGACCACACACACGCATACAGCACAGAGAGATACAAATGACTGCCTTTATTCAATCTGTATGAAATGAACCTCTTCAGAGGTGGGGTAGGGGTGGGGGAACCCTGTAGCAGCAGAAGGGATGTGCTACTTCAGGTACAGCTAAGAAACCTCAGAAACCACTGGAGAGCAGAGGGAGGAACTGCAGTCAGCTTCTCCTGACTGAGAGCAAGCAATTGTAGTATCAAAAGTGGTTCCTGAGCCCATGGGCAACCAGCATCAGCCAGACACTGGGACAGGCGCCATACCCCACAGTAAGCCCATGAGCACTCCAGGGCAGCCCCACCCCTTCTTGGTCCTCTTCTTTTCTCCTGCCCCCTAAGGGGGAAACAGGTCCCTGAGCACATACACCCAGCACTTCCCAAGCTGGGTCAGCCAGCCAATTGGAAACTTAGACCCCAGTGACACTCCTGGCTCAGCCCCAGGAGTCCCCAGTCTGCCATCTGTCCTCCTGGCTGCACCTGAGGAAGGTGGAGGAACGGGACAGAAGGCTGGCAAAAGAGGGTGCTGCCCAGGGCTGCGGGCAGTGTCTTCCTCAGGTGGCCCCGCCCCACTTCTCACACTGTCTTAACATCCAGGCTTTGAGCCTGTGACAGGTTCTGGCGCTGGGCTTTGACCGTGTGCAAGCGTCTCCCATGCAGTGTGAACCGAGACCAGGTAAACAGCTGCAGCAGAGCACAGGTGATGGGCACCAGCACCAGCAGGTAGAAGCAGCCCTGACGAAGCGTCGGGGCCTGTGCCGGGGGTGGGGCTGGGGGCTCTGGCCAGGGCCGGGCACTCCCCACAGGGGCTAGTGGGGCCTGCTGGAAGACATCATGGCCTAGGATGAGAGAGCACAGAGGTACATGATCAGCCCAGCTCCACTCCCAAGTCTGCAGTGGGACATTCCAACGTTGCACGTACGTGTCTAAACCACAACTCTTGATTTCCTCCTCTAAGCTGGCTCCTCTCCCACCCTCAGTGAACAGCACTTCCATCTACCCAACAACCTAGGCCAAAAACTTCCAAGTCATCCTCGATTTCCTTCAGCATCCCACAACATCCAATCCTCCTCCTCCCTCCAACTCCAAAACATCCCAACCCACTCATTTCCTTCCAGCTCCTCTGCCACCAGCCTGGCCCCAGCACCCAGCACCCTGGCCCCAGCACCCAGCACTTCTGCCACAGCCTGGTGATGATCTATCCACCCCCCTCTGCCGTTCCAGCTCTGGCCTCCACACAATCCATTTCCACACAGCAGCCAGAGTGAGCGACAAAACTTAAACCAGACTCCTGGAGCCATGGAGGGTGGATGAACCCCAGAAATCATTGCCCTGAGATAATCTTTCAACCTTAAACCAAAAATATCCCCTGGAGTCATCTTAAAACCACAGTTTAGCTCAACGAGTAAAAAAGGTCTGCCTTAAGCATCCTGATCTTTTAAGAACTACCTACATGGGATCAAAATGACAATAGCAACTCAAACGATTAGATAGGAACCTTAAAAAAGAAACCAAACTCACTGCCATCGAGTCGATCCTGACTCAGAGCGGACACCCTTTGGGTTTCCGAGGCGGTAAATCTTTGTGGAAGTAGATTGCCCAGTCTTCCTTCCAAGGAGTGGCTGGTGGGCTTGAACCACCAACCTTCTGGTTAGCAGTCAAATGCCTTAGGTACTATGCTACCAGAGCTCCAGATATGAACCTTAAGGGGCAATGAATTTATGTTAATGAAGGAGGAAAAACTTAGAAAAGGAGGGTAAGAATGGTTGCACAATTCGAAGAATAAAATCAAAGTCACTGAACTATACATGTAGAAACTGTTGAATTGGGGTGTTTTGCTGCATATATTCTCAACAGCAAGAAAAATTATATATGGGGGGAAAAAAAACATAAACTGGACTGTCATGCCCTTGCTTAGAACTCTCCCAATAGTGTCCTTTGCCAATAATAAAATCTAACCCCGCCTTGGTCTGCAAAACTCTTTTCACTTCTCCAGACTCACGTCCTGACCACTCACGATTCCTTGGGCCTTTGCACTTGCTGCTTCTACCGTCTGAGGTTTCCTGAGATCTTTTCGAGACCAGCTCTTTGCTACTCAGTTCCCATCTTGAGCATCACTTCCCCCAGAGGCCTCCCTGACCACACTCAGTCATACAGTCTCACATCTCTGTATTTTTTCCTCAGGGCACTTAATACTACCCAACATTTGTTTGTTTGGCTATTTATCACAAGTCCTCCCTTCTTCCCCAACTAGATATTATAAGCTCCATGATAGCAACGACCTTGTCTGTCTTACTCACTATTATGTCCTAGCACCTAGAGCAGCATCCGGCATAGAAAAGGTATTCAAAACATACTGGTGGAAGGAATGAGTGCGTGGAAAGAATGGAAGACTGTGAGATCCAGTTTCCTCTACCCATAAGCAGAGGAGGGCGGGTTAGTCCTGGGAGGCCCAGGCTCTGCCGGACTTGCCATTCTCTCTCCCTCACTGGACCTAGAGTTCAGGCTTGTCAGCTGGTACTCCAGGTAAACTGTGCCCCCAGGCCCTCACCTGTGTAGAAGCAGAGCAGCCAGGTACCCAGCAATGGGGCAAAGGTCTGGCCTGGTTTGGTCACCAGGGCAACCATGCCAAAGAGCAGCGCTGAGGCTGCCTGCTTGCGGTGGTTCAGCACCAAGTCCTCGTCCACCAGGTCGGTGACCACCAAGGTGAGCAGCTTACAGGTGCCCTCAGTGAAGACACGGTTACTGCCGGTGAAGAGAGAGGGGCAAGAGTGAGGGGGTGGGGGACCGATGTGCGGGGGGTCAGAGAGGGCGGGCCATACCTGGCGATGAAGAAGCAGAGCAGGCCGGGACGGTCAGGGCCAGCCAACAGCATGAGGAGGCTAAGGCCCAGCTTGAGCAGGAAGAGCCCCCGCACCACGGCGTAGACTCCCCAGCGCCGGCACAGGGGCAGGAAGTAGAGATTGTTGAGATGTGGCGCCACGTAAGAGATGCCTGGGGAGAAGGGGCCCAAGCTTGTCAGGGGGCACTGCACAGCTTATCAACGTTTTTAACGATCAGAATCACAGTGTGCATGTATTGGAAACTAAGGACGAGCCAGCCTCTGTGCTGAGCTTACCAATCATCCTTTTACAGAATCCTCACAACCCTTTTTAAGGTAAGTACTATTATCCCTACTTTACAGATGAGAACTGGAGGCTAAAGAAGATTAAATGACATGCCCAAGCCCACACAGGGAATGAGCAGTCTGGACACACCCACACCTATCAGACAATAACCCTTGCCGATAACCGGTACTGCACCTCATCGCCTCTGGGTGGCACCATCACCAAGAGGCCAGTCCCCCCTGCACTCCCACAATGGGCTCCCACTCCGTCCTTCCGGAAAACAGAGCTGGGCGCTGAAGGTTCAACCTCCGCAGCAGTCATCCCTGCCCTCTGACACCCGGGGCCTCCACTGATGAGATGGCCATGCCTGCAGCTGGGCTAAGGGCACTGGGGTACAAGTCTTTTCTTCTAGCCTGTCCAATGCACCCACTCACCCAACAGGAAAGAGCCCGTGGACAGGGAGATGTGGTCTGACAACAGGTGCTCCAGGAAGAGGGGGAAGAAGTTGCTGTTGAAGTGGCAGTGAAAGACCTGCAACCCAACAGGGGCAGTGAGGGGGCTGCAGGGGCCGGCAGGGGAGACCGGAGCCAGCGCCGAAAGCCAAAGGCGGTCAGAGGGAGAGCGGGTCTTTATCCCCATGGCCCTAAACATGGAACATGCCAGAACCAAACCTAAAGCAAAACCCCAACTTTTTAATCTATCTTTGCTAAAAGTTAGCAGGAATGATCAAATAGTAATGAAAGCAACTAAGTTTTTTCTTTTTAATTTAATAAAATAACGTAGTGACATAAAAACAAACTTTCTAAATTTCGGTAGCTTAAATACATCATGCATTTTAGGTACGGCACTTCAGTTTTTTAAAACAATTGTCACAGTTTTGTTAAAAAGATTGCCCCAACAAGGCATGACTCTCTTCCCCTCAATTTGCAGGTGAGGACAAGGCTGTCCGGAGAGGCTGAGACCTGCCTCAAACCACACAGGCAGTTAGGAGCTCAGATGGTGCTAGAATCTAGGTCTCCCAATGGCCCTTCCTGTGATCCTGTCACTGAGTCCCTTCGCAGTCCCTAACACAAGACCCAGAACTGATTGGCCAGCTCTTGAAGAACCTGCCCCCTGACTGAGGCATACCCCAGCCATCCAGGGAGAAGGGCGGCTCCCCATACCTGCACCAAATCCATGCCCACGAACCACAGGAAGTTCCGGTGGCGTGCCAGCTGCCGGAGGTACTGACCCAAGGTGATGCTGCCTGCTTCCTCGCTGCCCACAAGGAGTTCCTCTCCACACAGGCTATGGGGCAGAGGGGAGTTGAGAGCTTCCTGGGGCTGAGTCAGAGCCACTCCCCCACTCTAGGGCAACCACCCATCAGCCAGGGGACCCAGTGCAGAAGTCAAACTCAGAAGAGCGCTGACGGGAACCTGCAGAACCAAGGCCGGCCACTCACCCGCCATCCACAGCCAGGGCTGGGCAACCTGGCTCCCTGCTGGCCGCCTCAACTCGCCTCCTTAGCAGCCGCGTGGCCCCCACAAAGCCCAGCCCGGAGCCAGCGGCCAGTGCCACACAGAAGGCACGGAAGGAGGAGAAGTCCTCCTTGTTCCAGAAGGCGTAGGAGGCAAAGACAGAGAGGGAGCCCACGGCACTGAAGAGGGAGCAGTAGAAGTTGAGGTGAGTGCGGTCGTGGGCTGAGAGGGCCAGGTCAGCCAGCAAGGCATGATGGTGCAGGTCCACAAGGGTCAGGAAGCCGTCGTAGAGGCACAGGCACAGCAAGAACTGTAGGCCAGCTGGGGCCCAGGGCACCCAGAATGCCAGGAATGACAGCGCCAGCAGTGGCCCGTGCCAGCCCAGTGCCCGCACCCGGGCCAGCACCACGGCCCTCGAGGAGAGCCCAGCGCCCAACCTGCCAGGGAAAGGAGGGCTGTTGGGAGACGCTCTTCAGCCTTGGCAGGCTCCAGCTCTCCACTTCCAAGTCCCAGAGGAGGGATGGAGGCCCAGATGTGGGACTCGTACCAGGGTGGTATAACCCGAGACCCTAGCCTCCAACCCAGGCAGCACACTTCCCAGTGGGTGCACCCCTCCTCTGTCCCCATCTCCCGCCTGCAGCCTGCCAGTGCAGACAGCCGAAGGGTGGTGGGTACCCACTTCTCAAGGGTGAGGCAGTGATGGCATTGAAGCAGGGCTGGGGTAGCTGCCAGCAGCAGCAGAGGGTGCTTGGGGTACAGAGCTCAGTCTGGAGGCACCAGACAAGCCAAGCTGGGGTGAATCTTCCCCTAGGTGAGCAGGACAAGGCTTAGTCAAGGCCATTTCTCCAACTTGGAGACTACCCTTGGGCCTCAAGAGGGGATGGGGAATGGGCAGCTGAAAATGGTACCCCTTTCTCCCCCTACCCAACATGGGCAGGGGTCCTCTAGCTGATTGGAGGGGGTGTGGTAGGACAGCACAATAAGCCGTCCCCAGGCACAAACCGGGGCTGGGAGCTGAGGAACTGGCGATCACTGAGCCAGCCGAAGAGGGGGTCATTGAGGCTGTTCCAGATGAGAAACACCGTCTGCGGGCAGAGGAGGGGGGCAGGTGGGCTCCAGGCAGACTGCTCCTCAGGCTCCTCGCCACCCCTCAAAGACGGCCCCCGCCTTTCTGCCCACAAACCTTTGCTCTGTCAGTCCCTCCACACTAAAACCCACTCTACCAGCCACTGCCCCCACTAACCAACCCATGCAGGGCCCAGCTGATAAATTAGTACCTGTGTATATAATATTTTACACCCTATCTGTGACTACATAGGAGCTCTGGTGGTGCCATGGGAAAGGCATTTGGCTGCTAACCAAAAGGTCGGCAGTTCAAACCCACCAGCCTATGGAGTGCACAGGAGAAAGATGAGGCAATCTGGTTCCATAAAGATTTACAGCTTTGGAAATCCTGTGAGGGTCACTATGGTTGGGGTTGGAATCGACTCGATGGCAGTGGGTTTATGGGACTATATAGAGCAGTGCCACGTTCATAGCTGGTCTAACCCCCACTGCGGAATCACCCAGGGCTCCATCTCTGGCTTTCCTACTGAGTCTCTAGGACAACCTCAATCCACCCTACGCCCCTGACGGGGCAGGACCCAGCACCTGTGATCTGCCCAGTGCCCTGTGCACCCTCTAGGACCCCACCCAGGCTGGCCGTCCAGCACTGGCCCTACCTCTCCGACCCAGAAGGCTGCCTTGTTGATCCTGTACACTGACACAAAGGTTTCGACATAGTACAGCAGGAATACATTGTGCAGGATGGAGATGAAGAGGGCCAGGGAGCCATAGACCACAGCTGTAGGCAGGCCCACCAACCAGGCCTGGGGCCAGGCCAGCCCCATGGCCGCCAGCCCCAGCCTCAGCCTCAGCAGCACTGAGGAGGCCTCATGGCCACAGGGAGTCTCGCCATCCTCCTGCCTGGGGAAGAAGGAGCCAGTTAGCAGCAGGATCAGAGCCCGTTCTGCCCCTCACACGAGTTATTTAAGAACTCCCTTCCCCTGAGAGAGAGTCTGTACACAAAGTCAGGGACTCATCAATGAAGTATTGCTGAGCCACTGGGGGAGTAACCCGGCAAAACCGCTGAAGCCATGGGAAGAGAAGACAGGGACCCAGCAACTGCTGAGCCAGGCCACCAGCCAAGGGCTGATGATCATATCTTGTTCCATCTGCACTATAAGGCCTTCCATTCTCAACGTGACAACCCTGGGATTGAGCACAATGTCCTTACAGTATAATGTTGGCAAGCTACACCACCCAGCCTCAGTTCCCTCTTCTGTCCACAGTAAAAGAGGACGATCATGCCTACTCTGCAGAGGAGCCCTAAGGATTAAATGAGTGACTCACACTAAATGCTCAAGACATGGGTGTGAGTGGTGTCACTCCTATTTTTACAAAATTCGTACAAAGTTTGTAGCACTGTTATGATTTTATATGCGTAACTCTAAGCTCAGAGATGTTAGGTGACTTGCCCAATGTCACACAGCAAAAAAGAAAGCATAGGCATACTTCATTTTGTTGTGTTTCACTGCACTGCACTACACTTCACAGATACTGCATGTTTTACAAATTGAAGGTGGGCGGCAACGCTGTGTTGAACAAGTCTATCAGTACCATTTTTCTAACAGCACGTGCTCACTTCATGTCTCCATGTCACATTTCAGTAATTCTCACAGTATTTCAAACTTTTTCACAATGCTACTGCACACTTCATAGAACACAACCAAAAAATCTGTTGCCTTCAAATCGATTCCAGCTCACAGCGACCCTGTAGGACAGAGTAGAACTGCTCCTAGGGTTTCCAAGGCTGTCATCTTTACAGAAGCAGACTGCCACATCTTTCTCCTGTTGAGTAGCCAGTGGATTTGAACCACTGAACTTTTGGTTAGCAGCCAAGTGCTTAACCACTGCACCAGTACGGCTCCGTAATAGACTACACTATAGTGTAAACAATTTTTACATGCACTGGGAAACAAAAAAATTCATGTGACTTGCTTTACTGTGATATTTGCTTTATTGACGTGGTCTGGAACCAAGCCTGCAGTATCTCCGAGGTGTACCTGTATTGTTAGATTTCAGCCCAGGCCTCTCTGGCCCCGAAGCCTGTTCTGCTACTAGATCTGCCAAATAGGGAGGGTCCTACATGCCACTGGGGAGAAAGGGGAAATTCAACGGAATGTCTGTCTGCTCCCTGATCCGGCAAAATGTGTAAGAGTCCACAACTGCTTATATTCTTTGATCCCCAAATTCCACCTTAAAGAACTAACCCCAAAGACGTGCAGATATGGCCATGGCAGCAACGTTTATATACAGCAAAAAGCTGGAGGCAGCCCAAGAGTGCAACAAAGGGACTCGCTCAGCTCACTCGCTATTCTCCAGATAGGCTGGGCCAGGGCCTCCACACGGGCACTACCACCACACGGGGCAAGAAACGTGAGAACACGAGGCGTGAAAGGAGGAGAACAAAGGACAGTGTGGGTGCCTAGCTCCCAACCAGGCCAACCTGTACGTAAAACCAGTAGTCTAGACTAACCACGGGTGGGGAAGGAAATAAAAGGCAGATTATCAGAGGACTACTTCTCAAACTGCAATGTGTTTACGGGCCACCTGGGGACCTTGTTCAAATACAGGTTCTGACTCAGTCGGTCAGGGGATTTCTAACAGACTCCCAGGTGATGGTCCATGAACACACTGTCTCTCACTTGTTTTAAAACTGAAAGTTGTGCTTTCTTCAGAAAAAAAAATCCTCATGGGTGCTTGTCTGATCCCTAGAGGGGAGCTATGGGGCAGGCCTTCCTTCCCTCAGATACCCTGTTGTGGGTTGACATTAGTCCCTCAAAAAGGTATGTGCACATCTTGACCCCAGTAGCTGTGAATGTGACCTTATTTGGAAATCAGGTCTTTGCCGATGTAACCAAGTTAAGGTGAGGTCATGCTGGATGCGGGTGGGCCCTAATAAATAACTGGTGTCCTAATAGGAAGAAGGAAATTTGGACACAGAGATGGACACACAGAGAGGCATGAAGAAGGTGGCAAAAACTGGGGTGCTACAACTCTGAGCCAAGGAATGCCAAGGATTGCTGGCAACCATCAGAAGCGAGAAGCAGAAAGGATCTTCTCTAGGACCTTCAGAGGAACATGGCCTTGCAGAGACCTCGAGTTCACTTTCAGCCTCCAAAATTGTGGAAGAATAGGCTTCTGCTGTTTCAAGCCACCCACTTTGTGATACTTTGTTACAGCAGCCCTAGAAGACTGGGTACCATCCAGGGCTGATCTTCAGAGATCCCTGGGGCTCCCATCCCAAACCCACATGCACATGTATGAGCACACACAGAGCCAAAGCTTGTTTCTTATCAGGGGCAGGCCCTGGTCAGCTGCCTTCAGCCCCAGTCCAACAGCAGCAGCAGGGACCCCACAGCATAGTCCTTGTCCCATGATCCACCATGGCTCCCACTACCCAGCATACTAAGGCCTTACCATCCTCCTCTCCCAGCCTCCAAGGGCCTCCTTGTTCCAGAAGGCGTAGCCTGGCCTCCTCCAGGTCCTCAATCCACCCTCTTCTCTGGCCAAACCTTTGTTTTTGCTGATTCCAGAAGCACCTTCCCACCTCCTCATTTCAATCTCACTCATCTTTCAGGAGCTACCAACCACGTCCAGGAAACCACCCCTGACTCCTCAGACTGATCCCTTCTGCCTGGGTACACGACTAGCTCTGCCTGCACAGCTATCGCTCCTGCCTGTCGCCACCCCAACCTGACTGTGGGTCTTTCAAGGCAGGGCCTGTGTCTTCACCTTCTGTCCCCCTCAGAGAGAGAATGCACTGTGCTTGGCCTCTCTTGCTGTGGGAGTGACTGACTGGCAGAGGAGGCAGCTCTGACAGGACCCTAAGGAAGTTCTCTCACTGGGATCTCAGTGGCAATTCACTCAGAGCTTCACATGCACTCACTCTGTGCCAATCTTGTGCCAGTCTATGCCTAGTGGGCGGCAGGCTGCAAGGAGAAGCTGGCCCAAACCACCTGAAACCAGGCCCCTCAGTCTGCAAGAATCTTCCCAGGCAGGAGGATGGCCAAGTGGCCTCTTTGTGGCCTATGAATCCCTGAAGGAATGTTCAGTAGGAAATGTTTTTCTTCTTGTTTTTCCCCCATAGATTTACTGAAGTGTAACTGATATACACTAAACTGCACATATTCAAAGTATACAGTCAGATAAGCTTCCACGTATTTATGCACCTGTGAAACAATCACAACTGAGATAATGAACATATCAACCATCCTAGAAGTTTCCTCAACATTGCTTTTCTAAACACCATAGTGGAAAGAAGACACAACTGGAGGTTTCAAAAATCCTGACTCACACATTACTAGCTGTGTGACCTGAGGCAGTTTACTTAACCTCTCTTGGACTCAGTTTTTTAATTTGTAATATGAGGCCACTAACCCTGTCTACTTCATGAGATAGCTGTTAGCACTCAATGAGAAAATATTCCAAAGCACTTCGGCCAGTAAAGGCGAAAAGCACTCAGTAAATCATCACTAAAACTCACTGCCATCGAATCGGATCCGACTCACAATGACCCCTCCTTGGCTTTCTGAGGTGGTATCACTACAGAAGTAGGTTGCCCAACCTTCCTTCTGAGGAGTGGCTGGTGGGTTTGAATCGCCAGCCTTCTGGTTAGCAGTCAAATGCCTTATCATTATTATTGAATCTCTCAGACCTTCCATAGAAGGGAGACGGCCCCAATACCCACCACACAGGGATGAAGTGGGGATTAAATGAGGCAACATCTAAAGATGTTTTGAGGCTGGAAATCACAATGCATACCTCCTTTATTATCCTTAACCCAGGTCATCTTCTCTTGTTTCTGCCAGGCCCTTTCAGAACTCCCCCAGCCTCAATTCCAAAACCTCTCCAACCAGTACCAGCTGTCCTGTGGCCTTCCTCGGGAGTTAGAGAAAGCAAACCCTGCAGGAAAGCTCCCAACCCCCACTAGCTGGCTCCCTGCATGGGGTCAAAGGTAGAAGAAAACCTCAAAGGGCGGTGAGATGGAAAGGGTATGACTGTTGCATCAGAAGGCCTGGGTTCAAATCCCAGCTGCACGTCCTTGGTTTTTTCACCTGTGAAATAGGGGTTATAAGGTCTATCTTCATAGGGGTGCAGGGAGGACTGATGTCCAAGAAGCCCAGAGCAGGGCCTGGCACAGGAAACCCCTCCGAAATTGGCTTTTTCCTGGGATCACTTGGATCAGGTTAGGAGCAAGAGAATACCCTGGGAACCAGCCCCCTTCCCCAGGTAACGGACTTTGAGGAAACAGAAGCGGCACAGCAGGGATGGTCAGAAGAGGGGCCTGCAAGGGGCGATACAACCTGCAAAGTCTACAAACGCCAGACACAACTCCCACCACAAACGTGAGCTCGGGGCAACACACCTGTCCAGATGAACCGCTGCCCTAGAGAAGGGAGAGGGGAGACAATCCCTCTAGAGGTTTCTCTTCCGCATTCCTCCCTTCCATCAGGAAACAGTCTTCCCTCACTAGCCCTCCCCACCCCCAACCCACCCCAGCACAGAACAAACCATTCAGCCTCTCCCAGGGAAGACAGCTGCAGCCCACACCAGCCCAGTTGCATAACCTGGTGAGCTATCCTGTAACCTGCAACCAACTCCACCTACCCCTCGGCACTTTGCACGAGAGCCTACCTGGTGGTCCCCAGAGCTTACCCGCACCCCCTTCCTCAACCTATCCCCTTTGGTATGATCTTTAGTCAGTCACTCCCTCTTCCTGAATCTCAGTCTCCTCCCCTGCAAAGTGGAAACGAAATGCCAACCTTAGTGTAGCTGTGGGGCTGAAAGGCAAAATGTATAAAAAGCACTCACC